CACACACACACACACACACACGACATTCAGGTCAGACTGAATGCGATATTAGGTTTTTATGTTCTTCTCTATCCTGCCTTTCTGATGCAATCTGATACAATGCTGCTGGGAGAACCTGATGACCTGCATAGATTTATGAGCGGCTCAGCTGACAGCTCGTCAATATTTCACAGTGTCTCTGATGCTGCATTCATACATAATGGCTCCAAATATCCTCACCATTCCTCCAGATAGGATGTGAACGCAACACAGTGCAATCAACAACCTTACCTTTAGCTAGTGACACAGCGCTGTGGAACTGCATGTGATGGCTGCATATGCACTGCGTACTAAGATGAACTAATATTCTGATTGTCTTAAATTTTCCACAGTCAATCTGATTCATTCCTGCTTCGGTGAACACATCAGGCGTCACTGCACAGGCCACGAAGAGCGACTTTGTGACAGCATGACATTACTGGTGCGTGTGTCATTAGGATTACATCATTCAGTCCTCACACGCTGCTTCTCTGGGAAATTAAACTGTCAGCAGGAGCTAGCATGTCCACCTGAGACTGATCAGCAGGCTTTAGGAGGCGCTCTGTGCTAATACGTAGGTACAACACTGTCGTAATCACAGACTGATTAGTAACCAGGGTGGTTTATAAACAATACCACCATGGTCATGTCATGTTAACAAGTTGTTAATTTCACTAATTAAATCCATTTCTACAAAGTCACCCATTTCTAAATCATCAGCAGTTTCAGACATTGCTGCTGTTTCTATAGTTTGTCTTCAAAATGATCTACTTACCCCGGCTACACTTATTAGCACAAACGAGGTGTTAGCGCTGTATTTATGGATGCAGACTGCTAATCAAACTATTCCAATAATGAGTTTTCCACTTGTGGTTTTGGTCACATTTATTCGTTTTATTAAATATCTGTTACGTCTTAAAAAGCAAACACAGCCTCTCCTGGACCCTGCAGCCACGTTTGGCCCGCTTGGATCAGCTTGTTACGTAGCGCCTGCATGTACACGGTGCTTTTGTAGTCTTACGGCTCAGAGTCACATTTTAACCGTACACTCGTGCTGCACTTTACTCCACACACAGTCCATATGATGACACAGTGAGGCGTGACTTCACAAACCTACACCTGTCATCACAGCGCTCTGCTCTGATAGCAACCTGCAGGCTGCACGTTATGCTTTAAGCAGGTGTCGTTAAAAACAGTGTTATTTTCATTATCACACACACGTGTGTGTATGTACATGCACTCATGTCCATGTGCGAACCCTCTGATTTATTCCACTGTCTAAATGTTGTTTTATTACCAGAATCAGATCAAACACACGGCAGCAGCTTAAACATAACCTTAAGCTAATGTTTCCCAGTTATGACTGAACTGCTCTTGTTTGTAGTTTGTGTGTATTGCACGTCTCATACTGTAGACACAACGTGCACTCACAGCTAAGCTCGACTCTGATGAAGTCCTTGAGGCCCTGGTTCTCCAGGAACACTCCAGAAGGAGTGCTGGTCTTGAAGTAAAAGGAGATGTCAGACGCCAGCTCTGCCTGTAGGGTGGGGAAGTACAGGTACGACGACTCCTGGTAGAAAGAGGCTGCGTTCCATATCGACCCTGGAAGGACAGGAGGAGGCGAAAAGAACGTAAAGATGACGAAGTGAAGGGAGGAGGCGGTGAGCGCAGAAGCTGTGTCACGCTGCATCTCGAGGACATTTTTGTTCATCAGTGTAAAACCTGTGACTTTTGCAGAGTCTTATTTCCACCAGCAGGTTTTCAGTCCAATGCAGCACATAAAACTCAATAACTCTTGTTAGGAGAGTTCATTGCCATGTGATGCTGCGCTGCTGAAATACTGAGATCAAATATTCCTGTGAAAGAAAATCAGTCTTTTAAAAGATACTTTGGTTCTGCAGAGAAGATCGAAAAGCAAATAATCCAAGACATCGGTGAACGTGCAGCGACCGTACGTGGCACACAATAGGTGACATCACAGGGTCTGAAACACTGTAGCTATCCTCTAAATAATTTATACATTACATGCATTATACATCATCAGCCAGACGTTTGATGTGTTTAAGAAGCTTTGATAGCTGCTATTACACTTAAAATAGACTTATTTGGGGGGCGGGGGATGGGGGAAGCTGGCACGCTTAAATTCTAAGACAAGCAGCACAAAATCAAACCCCAGCCCTCTGCAACACCTGCAGATATTTACTGGAAGCGAACTGAAATCTCTGTGATCCTGCCTGCACCACAGATGAGGCTTTAACTCTCGATCCAGCGACAAACATAAAAGCACAAGTCGCAAAGACATTGTGTGAACATTTTGTGTCTCTAATCAGCCTCCATCTGCAGCCAAATCTGGAACAGTAGCTTCAACAGTGAGGTGATCACCTACTGTCTCCATAACAACGCAGAGGGCCGATGTGGTAGACAGCCTGCGAGCCCATTCTGTCGGTGTCTCCGATCACTATCTGGCTCACTGGTAGGTGGTCTTTGTAGGAGAGGACTCCTGTGTCATTAGCCCTGTGACAGAACAGAGAAAAGAACCGAATAAATAGTAATACACCAATCCTCAGGGGCCCGATTCTTTCATGGGGGTCCAGATAAAGGCTGACTTTCAGCTCCGTTAGCACAGAGCGCGCGGTAAACACCCCATAAAGGGAACCATCTATCACAGAGCACACATTTGCCTGTGAAAACATGGAGCTGCAAGCAGGAAGGCTTTGGAGTGGATTAACGCAGCATAAACAAAGCCATTGAGGATGTTTAAACTCCAGCACAGCCTTTGTTTCTTCATTCATGGCTCAGAAACGATGATGAGTTTAATCAAAAGTGAAATATTATGTATGAGCTGTAATTAATCATTTTGGATTAAACTGTGCTATACCAAATTGTCCAAGGCATTTTCACACAATCCCAAACAGATAATGAGCTGCAGAAATCCGAGTGTGAAAATGACATTGAACACTGTATGATCTACTCGCTTCATTTTTAGCAGACAAATTTCCTCAAAATCCTGGAACCTGAGCTGCTCGTGGTGGTAGCGTTCCCTCTGGGAGGAGCACAACGGCGACTCGTTAGTCACATGGTCTGTCTCACAGTTCGTGGATAAACCATCCATTTATCATTATTTCATGTGTCCTTCTGTTTCCTACACACAGCTGTGGTCTCACATCAGTGTGGATCAGATTATCACTGCCTCCTACAAAAAAGTAGGGTCTTTGTAAAACGCGGACGTGTGACATCAGCTAAATCATGACACGCAAATTCGTGAAGCGTTCCTCATTTTTTATCGAATTTCCCAGAGGAACCCACCCGAGGGATTAATAAAGTTCTATCTTATCTTAAAGAGACGACATGTCCAATGTTTTAAACACAAACAAGCTGAGAAACATGCAATAAGAAAATAAATGTGTGTGATGGAGAGGCTGCCAGGTACAAAGACGGGCAGCTTCCACAAGAAAGGTGTTCCTGACTGAAAACACACACACACCCTGTCCAGCTGTAGTGAGGGGTCTGGGAGTCGACTGGCCCGTCTGCAGTCAACAAAGAAGCTGCAGTAAGTCCTTTATCAGAAAACCAGGGAGGCTCGAGAAGCTTTCAAAGGCAGAGCAGTGTGTGCAACACATCCAGTGATGATGCAAATGACGTAATGATGAAACAGAAGGTCTCGCTTCCTAAATCTAGAACGCTGCACTGGACTCTTTTACATCAACGTGAGGTTTAAATGATTTATCATCATTTTTGATTGTGTTCGCTTTAACCTTTGGTAGCTGTTTAAATCTTTTTGCAGTAGCAGTTTTATAATTCACCTACAGGATACAGAATAGTGTTCATGACGTGAATAAAAGCAGCCATGTGTGCGCTGTCTGTACCATGTGTCTGTGTCAGCATCACAGTTGCAGAAGTAGTTCATGTCAATGCAGTTCTCCTCCAGGCTGCAGGAGCACTGCTGAACTCCAGGCAGGAAGCCTCCCCAGTAGCTCCTCTTTTCTCCTTCCCGGTCCAGCCACCACGAAAGCGGACTGCCATCTGCAACCAAACCACAGTCAGCACGCCGCTGCAAAGGACTCACACAGTACAGCAAATATAAGTAAAACCACTGGCTTTAAAAAACAACATGAAACCCAAAGACAGTTTCTTTCTTTTAATTTACAACAACACCATCGAAAAGAAGTATGAAATAAAATATTATTATTATTGTTTCTTTTAAATGCTGTGATGTGATAAACAGTGAAATGACGCCACACTACCTGAAACCAAAAACATAACTAAAGGGTTAAACAGCTTCAATCAGTGTGACCCTGCTCTGCACAGAGGCCAGCTGGCATGGAGAAGCCCATTAAGCCACATGTCACAATGCATAATCAGTGTTACATGCTGGGGGGCTCTCATCCTGCAGCATTATAGGCAAAGATTTATGTATGGATACATGTCACAGCAGTGAGCAGTGGGGTCAGAGGCCGGAAGCATCCCTGTGAAACTCACTTTAACATCATCCATCACTTTGGCAAAACTGGTGACACAAATGTTAATTGTATGCATAAGTGAGGAGCTACAGGAACAATGAGTATGCACCAACATTTGCATTACAAAGGATGGGAATAATCCACATCTTTATCCTGTGTATTCATCGCTGCACATTTTAAAATAGTCCTGAGACATCAAACAGGAACACAAACCACAACAGGCTACAATCAATACATCCTGCAGGAGAGGTCTCTCTAATCACATCCTTTAACTGGCTGAATACTGACAGGAAAAATGTGTTTCCTGTCTCCTTCACAGAAATGACTGTTGTGATACATCG